GCATGCTCATGTTCCAGGTAGCCTAGAGGAAAATCAGAATGCAAGGAAGAGTTAGAGACAGTGATTTTCCCTTTCCTGCCCCAGCATCTTCCAGGGAGAGGGGCACTTTCACTCCTTGGCCCTGCCCTGGAAATACAGCCTCTTCCCAACCCCCTTGATCTCCTGCCAGGGGGGGTGAAGAGCTGCTCGCCCCCCCCCCAAGAACTGGAGCCAGGAAGCAAACGGGGTCAAACACATCCACTGGCAAGTTAGTTATGACGTCCTCTGTGGCTGCACAATCACTAATTTTTTCCCCCTATCTTTTGGATTGGCTTATGGAAGCTTTACAAACTGGCTGTGGGCCCAGAGTTATTTGTTTACGAAAGGTGGCCGTATGCATTTTCCAAATAAAATAGGGCTTCCTGCCTGAGCAGGGGGTTGGACTAGAACAGAGTTTTTCAACCTTTCCACCCGTTGTACCACTTTTAGGATATGGCAACATCCGAGTACCACCAGTCGCCTAGCAAGGTGTCAAAAGCTTGACCCATAAAAAAAGGAAAAAAGTGATGAAGTACAGGTAGTCCTCGACTTACAACAGTTCGCTTAGTGACTGTTCGAAGTTACAATGGCACTGAAAAAAGGGCCCCCCAAGCCACAGCCGAGCAAGACACCTGCCTGCCCGCCCGCCCGCGCTCTTCCTCCTGTCCGAGGTTTTCATTCTTGTGAGCATTTCTGTTGAGGATTGGCAGGAGGGGTGGGGGGGGGGGTGTTTGGTTTTTATTTCTCCCGGTCTGCTGGGTGGTTGCAGCAGGTTTTGGTCACTTCACATGATCCTGGGACACTGTGACCGTCCTAAATATGAATCAGTTGCCAAGCATCTGAATGTAATTCACAAGATCCTGGAGATGCTCATCGGCGCTTCGTCTGGGCTCAGCAGAAGCGCCAGGATAAGCGCCGAGCTCCAGCTGGATCCCGGCGCTGATCCTGGTGCTTCCGCTGAGCCCTGGCAGCCCTGCAGCTCCACCATCTCTCGCTCAGGCTTGTGGGGAGCTGCCACCAGTTCAGCTCATTCCCCTCCCCTCTAGGATGGTTGCGTACCACCTGCCAGGTGCCAATGTACCACAGGTGGTACCCGTACCACTGGTTGAAAAGCCTTGGACTAGAAGACCTCCAGAGGTCCCTTCCCGGTCTGTCATTCTGTCCTCCGTTATCTGGCACCAAGGCCGAGACCTCCCAACGTGCAAACCGCAAGCTGCACGTATTCGGAGAACCCACCGCTCACCATGTATTTCAAGCCGTCGGGCACGGAATGGTCTCTGGAGTAAACGAGGTTAATTTTCGTGCCCTGCACTGCGACTGGGCTCCGGCAGGCGATTTCGGTGGCCAAATCAAAGGCGCCCTGCAGCATCGACTCGTGATCTCGGAACACGCGGCTGGAGAAAACGAAGCCAGAGGAATTGTTGAGGTTGTGGCAGCTTCTTCCGGCCTGAGAATGCAAGTCTTGGATTTGGGAGTTCAAAGGAATGACGTTCTAAGGAACTTTCAAGGCCCCAGGTAGGGGAATGGCTGCGTTAGGCACCAGCCAAGCCTCTTTTTCAGCCCAAGGGCAGGGGTAGGCAACCTTGGCTCTTTTATGACTGGTGGACTTCAACTCCCAGAATTCCTGAGCCAGCCATGCTGAGGGGAAAGGGAGAGGTTTCCAAGCTGAGCCAGGCTGGCTCAGGAATTCTGGGAGTTGAAGTCCACAAGTCATGAGGGGGCCATAGTTCCCTCATGCTGGCTCAGGAATTCTGGGAGTTGAAGTCCATGAGTCATAAAAGAGCCAAGGTTGCCTACCCCTGGCCCAGGGGAAGTTGGAGAAAAACCTTAACAGTCTTGCTCAATCTACTTTAGTTCAGCATTTCTCAACCTTTGCAACTTTTAAGAGCTGTGGACATCAACTCCCAGAATTCCCCAGCCAGCAAAGCTGATGGGGTTAATACACACCCCCTGGTTGCAGTTGTTTCAGAAGAAGACAGCCTCACTCAACCTTGCCCGATCTTGAAAGCTAAGCCTGCTTAGTTCCCGGATTGGGGGGAAAAAAACAAAAAAAAAACCAGCCAGGAAATCCCGTGGGACTAAATGCAAGACAATTGTGGGGAGGAGAATGCAAGGCAAACATCCATGGAAACATCTGGATTGAACTCAGTGGGAGGAGGTGAGAATCTTTTGCAACTGGGCGGGAAGACTCGGACAATATTTAGGGCAGTGGTTCTCAACCTTTTTAATGCCGCGACCCCCCAACCGGTTGTAAGTCGAGGACTAAACCGGTCGTAAGTCGAGGACTACCCAACCGGTCGTAAGTCGAGGACTAAACCAGTCGTAAGTCGAGGACTAAACCAGTCGTAAGTCGAGGACTACCCAACCGGTCGTAAGTCGAGGACTTTCCCTGCCCGGGAGCGCCGTGCATGCGTGGTTCCACCCCCTGCGCCAGCTGAGACGTAGCTGGCAAGCGGCAGAGACAGAGCAGGCCGACCACCAGCTGGCCCAGCTCAAGGGAGGTAAGGCACCCGCTGGAAAAGGGGAAAAAAATGGCGGACAGCCTTGCTTGGCGACCCCCGTGAAATGGTCGATCGACCCCAAATGGGGTCGCGACCCATAGGTTGAGAACCGCTGATTTAGGGTCTCCGTTTTTTAAAAGATGGAGGCTAACCAATTGCATTCCATTTGAGGATACGTTTTCCAGTTGCCTGCCCCAACGAGACGTGAAATCGGGGGCTCTCCGAGCGAAAACACAAAACTGAGAACCTCCCGCAGCCCCCCGTATCCTCGGCTTCAAGGGAGACCCACCTGACAAGTCCGCAGCTCTCCGCCTCCGGGGCCATAAGCTTTCTGCCAGTGAAAGCCAGTTCGTTCACTAGGCTGGAGAGAGAACATCAAGAGCAGGTTAAGAGAGACCCGAATCACAAGCAGGCAGTTTTTTGTGGGCAGAAGGATCCCCCAGATCAGGGGTCTGCAACCTCAACAACTTTTAAGACTTGTGGACTCCAGCGCCCAGAATTCCTGAGCCAGCCCACGTCTCAGATGCAGCTCGTCTTGAGCAAACCACGGGCCGGATGTGCCTGGTTCCTTTAGACCTGGAGAAAAATTCAAGCTGCCACTTTCCAAAGTAGGGGAAGCCGCGCGGTTCCTTTCGGGCAAAACCCGGAAGGACGCCGGAGCCAAAAGGAAGCGAATCCCTCACCTCCGATTCCCGATGATGCGTGGCAAGCGCTGCAATGCGCCGACGTCGGCTGCCAGTCCAAGGTCCACTTCCTGAAGAAAGGAGAGCAAGGAGAAGGGGGTTCGGGCAGGGGCACCCACTGAGGTTTATTCCAAAGGGCAAGATGGGCGCTGGGATATCAGGACACCCACCCTGGGCCTGAAATACCGGGATGCAATTTGCAATGCCAGCCCAAAGGGAGAAAATTGGCTGTTTTTTTCCCCACTTGTACAAACCCGTCTCTGGCAAGCCTATGGCCTGGAATAAACACACGTGTTGTGGGTGGGTGTGTGAGAAATGAGCAGCACAAGAGAGCAAGGAAGGGAATATTATCTGTGCCTTGTTAGCGTCACCGATGCTTATTAAGTAGACATTTCTAGAGTAAAACTGTGCCGCGGCAAACTCACCTTCACCTGGAACCAAGCGTCCTGCGTGCAGTAGCGAATATCGCAGGCCGTAATGAGATTCACACCTGCAAAGGGACAAGATCCACGGTCTGTTTTCCACCTTTCTATCCCAACTTTCTTCCAGCACAACAGTTTAAAGTGGCCAAGCTCCTATCTCAGGGCCCACCCAGCCCAGTTCCAAGGAAGGTCCTGTGTCACCCATTCTCTGGCCACCCCCAGGGAGTCAAGTGTGGCAACAGCCCAGAAGAAGACTCACTAGCCCAGGGGTAGGCAACCTTGGCTCTTTTATGACTCGTGGACTTCAACTCCCAGAATTCCTGAGC